AGTCTACCTTTTTTGTGGTAAACATATGATACTACCGCGACCACAAACCAATTCTCTTGTTGTTGTTTTTTTAAATGAATATTTATAAATGGTAATGGCAATTATAATCCAGCCAACCAATCAACAAGCACCTTTAGCATATTTTCTATAAATCTAACATGGGAAAGCTGAACGAATCAGGTCATGTGGGCATCAGCGAAAGATTTATAAATGTTTCAATGTTTTTCCATCGGCGAATAGAAAACTTCGCTTAAGTTTGAATTAAAATTTATGAATATTTGTAAAACAAAAAATAATTGTACACATTTATATATACAAAAATGTATTTTTCAATATTCAACTAAATTGTGTTTCTGTTCAGATACAGACCATTTAATGAATTCATGAATATTCATTCTTTCAACATCAGCAACCATATTGCTTTCAACCACATTGCAACCTTGACTGAGATTACAGTTCCTTTTTAGTACACAACCGTCAAACACTGACACTCTTTCTAAGTTTTGAAATAAATGGCTTTTACAAACATTCATTGTGTTTTATTTAACCATAGGTTAATCAACAGTATGTTTACATGAGTTCAGTTACCTCAGACAAAACAAATCTCACTTGGTGCCACAGTGGTAAGACCTCTATTGTTGTTGTTGTAATTTACTTGGCTAAATACAATGTATCAAAATAAAAGTGTGAACTGTCTTGGCTGCAATGTGGATCCTGAAAGAGCTGTATTTGGTAACCCAATTACCCACAAGTCTTTGCAAGTTTTCTTCACCCATTGGCCAATTTACTGCCATACATCCGTTAATGCATTGTGATTGGTCAAGTTGTTTCATTTATAAATTTATAAACATTCAATGTAAAGTAGTATTAACCCGTCTTTTCCATTGAAGCAAAATTTTAATTTTTCCCCATAACATTATGGATCCAGAATGTCAGCCATTTTTGTGTATAATTTTTCTCCAATTTGCTTTCCTTTCGTAATTTTCAACAAATCAGTCACAAAAAAAGAAATAGAATGAATCACCTGAAAAGGACCCGGATAAGAGAAAACAAAACACCAACACACATATGATTTCAAAGCAAACAATATTTATTTAAATTCACATCCTTTAACACAGATCATGTATAACATGGTATCCTAGCAACAGCACAATGAAATGAACAAGAGAAATACAGACAATTTTGGAATTAAGTACAAGGACGATTTTTTTATAAAATTGATCATGGTCACAGTCAGAATTATCAGTAATTATTATTATTAGCAAAAATAGTATTCCTAATTTTCTAAAGTGATTCTACAAGCAGTACTGATTACTTTGTATTATTATTAAGGCACTTCCCCTGTTTTTAACGATGCAATATCAACCATCGGGTTGGTGAGCAACAGAGAAAGGATCAAAATTCTAATTTTAATAGCAGCCAAATATATATATATATATATATATATATATATATATTTAAAACAGCAACGAGGTGGAAGTAAAATTTCATTATAATTTTTTTTCAAAATTCAGAACAAGCTCATATAGAGATAATATAACATATATATATATATAGTACTATGGCATGAAAAGAATGGACGTAACATATACAAGTAATTGTGGATCATCTAAAAACATCATTTGGGAAAAAATCCAATATTATTGGAAGTAGAAATATAAGATTTCAATGCTGCAGAAAGGCGAGGTTTCTATGGAAATGAAATTCTGAGATTACAGATGGGAGCGAATGAATTTCAAACAGTGAATCAGATTGTATTAGACCAGATTATAATAATCATGGAATGGTAAGGACGTGTTATTTCTTGTGTTGAGTGATGTGACGAAAAAAATAATCATCTTCACTTTCGTTTAAAGTCGGGAACTATGAAGAGTATTGAATTGTGATTTAGATAGAATAATCCAAATTCCTGATGGTGATTCCCACTTTTAATATTTTGTAACTAAACCCTCTGTGATCAAAGAGAAATGTACACCATGTTGGAAAAGAATGTTGTTTCCATGGAAACCTCTAAATGTCAAGAATGGAATGTTTGTGAGATTAAAGATGAAACAACAAAGATTCATGGCACCTGAATAAAACAAAATATAAAAAAGGCAGCATTCAAAATCTTTTTTTTTTTAAAAAAGATAAGAAACAAAATGATTTTAGTCATTCATGAAAAAAATGAACTTACAAACTTTTAAAATTCATTGTAATCAAAACACAGCATGCAATAGGCCTTATGCATAATCCTTAAAGGTCACACATCCTGGTATTTTTGTCCTACAACAGCAATAGTTTTTTTTCTTTTAACTGGTTTTGAACTTTAATGACAAATGTTAACAAATTTGAAAGAAAATAAATGAGCAATTGATAGAAAATTTATATCACAGGAAAGTACCAGGATGTGTGACCTTCTGAGGTCATATGTTCCCAGAAAACATCAATCATACCCAAAAAAGTTTACATTTCCATATATGGAAAGTATGAGTATTGTAACAGCCAATCTGTATACAGTAAAATATGTACACATGCAAATATATGCAAATGAGAGGAAGGTCATGTAAATTTTGTCACATGTGGTTGGTTGGTTCTTTTTCAAGGTATTCAAGGGTTTTTTGGAAACTGTAATCACCTGATAGAAAAACTTCACCATAGCATTCCACATTTTTTCTGTACTTTTACAGTTGTCACTATGACAACAAAATACTGATGGACAGCTATGGTGATGTTCAAAATATATTTTGAGCGTAATGATAAAAAACAGCACACATTTGGGGGTTAATATGGTAAAACTGAATATCTTTAAAAACAAAATTAAAAGCATGCAGATTAAAATAAAAATCTAAAAATATTAATAAACCAAAGAAATATTAAGTATCTGGTGAAAGTTTCTGGGTTAATACTCTTGTTTAAGATATTGTGATAAATAGAAGAAAATAAACATTGAAATAGGATATTCAGCCTACAAGAAAAG